AAATATATTTATGTTTGTGGTTGTAATGTGACAAAATATGGAAAAGTTCAAGGGGTATGAATACTTTTGCAAACCACTGTATATCTGGAAACTCAGGAGAGTGATTGACAGGCAAAATGAAGTTCAACACCTTCCTTTACACCTGTTGTAGCTGATTAACCAGCCTATATGATGATAATCCATCCCAGGGCATGTTCAGCAGCTCAAGGGGCTAGGTTAGGGTTAGGGTTAGGGGCTCAGCTTAAGGGGGCTCAATAAATTTGATGCAGTCAGGTGGAGCTGTTTTCTGAAGACCAACACCAGCTCTACAAAATGCATGCATCTGGAAACATTGGAGAGTGATTTACAGGCAAAATGAAGTTCAACACCTCCCTTTTCACCTGCTTTTAGCTCAAACTTTCTGATGGGTAATTTACTAGCCAATGTAATGATATCCCCTCCCAGGCCAGGTTCAGCAGCTCAAGGGGGCTCAATAAAGTTGATTCAGTCAGTTGGAGCTGTTTCCTGAAGTCCAACACTTGCTTCACAACATGCATGCATCTGGAAACACTGGGAAGTGATTTACAGGCAACAATGTAGTTCATGACCTCCCTTTTCATCAGCCATGTTGCAATTTAATTAATGTTTTGTCTCTCTGACAGCATTTGCACTACTGGGACTGTGCAATAGTTCCCTGTCAGAACATCTTGATATAAGATGCGGCCAGATGTTCCATTTGGTCTCCCCAGTCTTCTCACAACTAGCCAGTTACATCAAAACAAACTACTGAGGGACATTTTTGGACAATGCCTTATATACATGTAACTGAGTTGGACTCCAATAGTGGCAGAAGAACTTTTCCAGACCAATGTCTCTTATACTACCACTGCGAGGTGTACTATATTTTAATAACTTTAAAGACAAAATGGGATCTTTGTTACCTAATTCCAAATCTCTTTTCTCCTGCTTGGATTTTCGTAGGGTGGCCAAATTTGGAAGGTGACTTGGCTCAGGATCTCCAATATCCATCAAATCTGATGCCTTTGCCGATCTCCATACAGCTGGCTCCATCCTTCCCTCACACAGTTTTTTTGAAATCTGTGCACGAAGGCTTCCAGACATAAACCTCTTGGATTGCCCAGTGTGCAGGGAGATTTCAGTGTCTTCGATGGAACACTGGAGCACCATTGGGCTGTTGACCGTTGGCTCTCTGTCACATGTCATTTTAACATGACCTTGACACTCTTTACAGAAGTCTACCATGTCTATGTAGACATATGTCTATTATGTCTAAACAGTGTTTCTTCCATGGTGTGATTTATATTTTAGAATCAAGAAGTCTCATTTAGCTGCATGACTCCGCTCAGAACTACAGTAAAATACATGATTGTAATATGTTAGGTGTGATACAAAAAAACCAAACAAAAAAAACAACAACACTGTCCTCAATTCTTCTTGTGGTGATATCATCCTGCAGAACAGCTGACATTGATCCATAAATTATGCACAACTTTACACAAAAACAAATCTATTGTCTGCATCTTGTGGAGCAGAGGAATCATCACAGCTGAGCTGTTCTGAATTAAATCTGCTGAGTTGACCAAGTTTTTTTTTTCTCAGTGAGCATTAAAAATGTTTCTTAGACATTTTACACATTTTATTCTCCTCAGCTGTGTGTGCGCCTCGCAGGCCTGCGCTCTGTGTGTGTTTACAACTACATGACAACAATATAAACAGTTTACAGACTGGACTGAGGTTCTTTGATCATTTTTAGACTGATCTATCTTCTTGTCTGAGGTTAAATGACTTTCAGTCCCGGGGTTCAGTTTCATCATGGTACAGTTTAAACAATAAAAACTCAAACTAAAATAAAAATCTAACAGCGTGTTCAGACACTCCTTACATCCAGAAAACACAACAGAGTCATATTTCTGTGGATTCAGGTCAGACTCAAGACTTTGTGAGTTAAAACTGTCGACTGAAAAACTTTGCATGGCTGCCACACGTTCTCACGGCAGGTGAAAATTGTGTGTAAATATACGCASACTTTCACGCAACGTTGGTTTTAATACATCCCAAAGTGGGCGTAGAACCTGGCAGTCCAGAACTGTTGGCTCCTTCACTTCAGGACTGAAGTGATTCTTTTTTTTGTCCTCCCCCGCCTCTCTCTCCCACAGAAATCTGCAAAAGACACCATTGGAAATTATCTGTGCTGGACTCCTACCAAAGAACCTCCACAAACCTTGTCCATGTCAGCCTCCTYGTCTGGATCCTGTAAGAGAACAAAAGAAGCCACATTCAATAACTTCAAACACTTACCTGAGAACATTATTCTAAAAAGTCTCTTTTTTCCTTTTCATCAAAAACCTGGAACGAATTCACTGTACAATAAATTCACTTACTTTTTTATTATTTGGTCCTTGTCCTSTTTTTTCCCTCGTCAGTTAAGTTGTGCTGGGTACTCTTAAAAAAACAATCTTAACAGTAAAGCGAACATTATACACAATACTTAAGTCTTAATCAAGTAAGCATCTACATTTATATTAAAATGCAGTTCTGCTCAACTTGAATAAATTACACTGTTCCTATCAGTTTTCAAATGTGATTATTACAACAAATTGTGAACTAAATTGCTTATTTTTTCCTCCTTTATGTAAAACAGCAGACATCGGAGTTATGGCAGTACTTTACTATACCACCAGAGGACGTTTACATTGTCCACCCTACTGAAAGTTCATCTTAAAGTCTCAAAATTATCCAGTATTACTGTTTCCAGGATTTATTGTATCATACAAACCGTGTTTTGCAGATATCAGTCTGTCTTTTTTTCTTGCCTGCTGTCAGGTATAAAGAACAGAATGGCAGAGTTAAAATAGAATTATATTTTAAAAATTAAAAGACTGTAAGGAAAATATGTGACTGTATTATGCATTGACTTGAGAACTGGGCTGAAGTGTTTTCTGTGGAAGACAAATAATTATATACTTCATTTTTGATTTCCCATGTAAACTGAGTACATATGGGTGTTGACAAGCTTCTGCAGAACTTATAAAGCTACAGAAGAGATGTGAAACAACTAAAACATGCATGATTCAACAGGCTGAGACTAAGAATAGAAGTAAAAGATGTTTTTGATGAAACAGTGCTGTCCAATGCTGAACATCTAAAAGTAAAAACCAGACCAAAAAAATAGAAATATTAGTCAGCATCTTGTACAACATGTCCACCAAACACCAGCAGATATCCTTACATTTCATAAATGTTGTCATGCCCGATTTATCAGTTCCACTTACTGCACTCTTAAAAACATTATGTACTGCATTATTCAAAATTTGAAAATTAAACTAAATCTGAATTCTTCTGCATCGTGACATCATTTTATATTTTGCACATGTACTCTCTTTTACGATTTTTTATTATCCAGCTCTGACACCTCTGATGTTTAGACTCGTTAGTATGTTCATTTATTTATTTATTTATTTATTTATTTATTTATTTATTTATTTATTTATTTATTTATTTATTTATTTATTTTACCAGAAAATGAAAGTTAGCATTAAGACTTTTCTTTCATTCGCGCGTCATTTGCGGGTGAGGTGGTGAATCCGGTTCACCTAACAGACTTGAGTTAATACAAATCACTTGGTGATGCTGAATCAGGTTTATGGTTGATTTTCCTCGAATCAGCGTTTCGATTCATTTGAGTCATTATCGTTTCCAGAGATTCTGCTATTTTTCCACCAACAGCTTCCAGTGGACAGGATTCGAATCAGTCGAGTCTTCAGACTCATGGGATCTGATTCAGTTCAATGATTCGATTCATTAACCCTGGTGAACCAGTAACAGACCAGTTCTGCTCCTGATGCTCTCCTTTTCCAGACATCCAGCAGGTAGATGTTTCGATTTCAGGTAAGGATTGTTCGGTACCAACTGAACCGGGTTCCTCCCGACCCTGAWTCTGGTGTCCTGCAGATGTTTTCCGGTCGTTCCTCTCTGTGTTTGGGTTTTATGTTCGGAATTTTAGCTCTGCTGCGGCCTGAAGCAGCGCGCTTTCCTGCTGACATCAGCCGTGGGGACGGAGAGCCTTGTCCGGCGCCGCAGACCGGGTTCATCCGGGTCGATCTGGGTCTGATGTTAATGATCAGAACGTGCTGGTTCTTCTGACTCCATCCTGTGGAGAAACGTTAAATAATCGGTTTGTAATCGATGCTAATGAGATGGAACGTCAGAGTTAGCATTGAAGCTAACGGCTAACYTAGCTTGCCTGCAGGAGGTCGAAGTGTTTTCATAAATTCTTTCATTTAGTTTTTATTAAAAACAACAACATTTATCCTCAGCTTCCTTCAGGTTCTGGGTCTGTAATATGAAGTGATGTTAGGGTTGGACTTTTCCATCATCAGATGTCCAACAGATGATCTGAGAAGTGCTTTAATTAAAATATGAAAACAAAAAAAAAACTGTTTAAAAACAAAATGATTTAACTGAAGAAAAGAAAAGTTCCTCAAATGAAAGAATTTTCAGTTTTCTCTGAACAGAACATCAGTTCTGTACAGGTCCACCAGACAGAACCACCTGGACCCACAGAACCTTATTAACAGACAGAACCACCTGGACCCACAGAACCTTAATAACAGACAGAACCACATGGACCCACAGAACCTTATTAACATGCTTAATGTTGACCCGGTCTGCCACTTATCTAGGTTCTATCTGAGTCTAAACCTGGACCAGAACAGGATTTCAAACTTTTGTCAAACCAAACAGACCAAAGTGACGRGATGATCCAGTCTGTTGTCAACAAGACCCAAAGCCTGGTTCTGACATGGTTTTGAGCTCGGACCATGGTTCTACACTGTTCTGGGTTTGGACCAGGGTTCTGATCAGGTAAATCCACATTGTGCCCACACTTCAGTGGCTGAGGTAGAAAAGAGGACAGGTTCTGGTTTGAACCACATGCAGTTCTGATCTTGTCTGATCCGGTCCGGTTGGACACCCTTAAACTGAAGTCCTGGATCTCTTCATCWCTGGGTTCCTGATCCTCAAAGCCTGGATCAGAGACTCAACCAGGATGTTCTGTTGCTCCTGCCTGAGTGGTCCCATGGGTTCTGTGTAGACTGGGTCCAAAGTTTCTGGACTGAAAGGATCCGACAGGTCCAAGGTGACACAGAGGTGGAACCAGAACAGACAGAACCTGTTCTTTGTCTTCCAGTCCCTGGACGATGACTGTACGCTGGAGGAGGAAGAGGAGGCTSTGGTAGAGGAGGAAGATGACATCGATCAGTTTAATGATGACACGTTTGGAGCCGGGGCCATCGGTGAGTGAAAGTTCTGTTCGGGTTCAGCTTGTAGAAGTTCTGGTTGATGAAGCTCCGCCTCCAGCTGGTTGTAAAGTTGTTGAAGCTCCTTCCTTCCTGTTTCTTGTTGCAGACGACGACTGGCAGGAGGAGCACAAACGCCTCGCTGAGCTGGATGAGCGCGATGGGTTGGGGGCGGGGCTTGGATCAGGAGGAGAGGAGCACCCGACCTCCTCGGACCAACCTCCCCTCCAGTCCTCCCTACTGCCCTTCAGCTTCTCCTCCTCTGCCTCTGGACCACCGCCTCCAGGTCAGTTACATCTTGGCCCGGGTCTCAGGGGTCCAGATTCTGGGTCTCAGGGGTCCAGATTCTGGGTCTCAGGGGTCCAGATGGTTCTGGGTCTCAGGGGTCCAGATGGTTCTGGGTCTCAGGGGTCCGGATGTTTGTTATTAACCTTCATCTCTGCAGCAGATGAGCGAGCAGGAGAACGAGGTTTGGCCGAGTCTTTGGCCCGACTCATCCTGGAGGCGGACCCGGCCATCGCTGGGGTCGGAGCCGCTGAGAGGCCCGGTCCATCTCCTCTGCGTGGACTGGACCCTCCCCCAGTCCAGCCGCAGTCCTCGTCTATCCCTCAGCAGAAGCAGCTGTCTGGACCCTCCTCCTCAGGTGAGCTGACTCCTGTCTGGGTCTTTTCAGAACCTTTGGGCTCAGGTGACAGGTTCTGAGTTGATCTGGATCTGGCTGCTTGTCTTCAGGCCCCCCTCCCTCCATGCTCAGCTACCAGCAGCACCTGCTGCACAGAGGCCCGGCTCCAGTGGCTCAGGTGAACTCTCACAGGATCTGGGACAACAACATGGGCTTTGGCCCGGTCAGCGTCTCTCCTGGACTCTCCACACACATGGAGGTGAGGGACACGGATCAGAACCTTGTCTGACCCCCCAGCTGTGAGCTGAGACTGACTCCTTGTTTCTGGGTCCAGGACAGTCCCCTCGTGTCCATCATCAAGGAGGTGGGGGTTCCTAAAAGACCTCCTGAGGGGAGGCCCGATGAAGGCTGGGCTCTGTCAGAGAGAGTTCCACCTCCTCGCTCCTCCTCCCCTGTCATTGGCTCTCCTCCAGTGAGGGCGGTGCCTATTGGGACTCCGCCCAAACAGCCAATGAGCCACGCCCTGAACCATCAGGTGAGTCTTCTGCCCTCCTCCCAGTGTCGACGGAACTTTCAACACTGAAGTCATGCTGTGTGTGTGTCTCTGTGTGTGTGTTTGTGTGTCTCTGTGTGTGTGTGTGTGTAGATCCACCACCCCACAGCGGTCCACATCAGAGCCCCGGTCCAGCACCGGTACCCCGCTCCGTTCCCGGAGCGTCTGTCTCCTAATGGCCTCCTGAACCTGACTGTGAGTTCCTCCTCTTCCTGTTTACCTGAACACCTGTGAGACATGATGTCATAACGGCTTTTTGTCCCCACCTGGTCCAGAACTCCCCGCTGTGTCGTGGCCCGTTTCCTCCCAGAGTGGGCCCAGTTCTGTCTCAGATCCAGAGAGCCCAGCTGCTCAACTCCCAGGTCAGTACCAGTACCAAGGGTTCACAGCAACAGCTTCTGATCCGGTTCTGATCCAGTGCTGCTGAGGGTTCTGAGTCCTCAGGACCTGAAGGTTCAGAGTCCTCAGGACCTGAAGGTTCTGAGTCCTCAGGACCTGGAGGTTCAGAGTCCTCAGGACCTGAAGGTTCAGAGTCCTCAGGACCTGGAGGTTCTGAGTCCTCAGGACCTGGAGGTTCTGAGTCCTCAGGACCTGAAGGTTCAGAGTCCTCAGGACCTGAAGGTTCTGAGTCCTTGTGTCCATGACTCGGCTCAGGTTCTTGTCAGATCTGGACTTCCTTCTTTGCAGTGAACAGAATCAGAGTTCTGAGCATGTGGACCGGTTCTGATGGGCCCACCTGGACTTGGACTTGAGCCTGTTTGCAGAGATGACWGAAGTGATGTTGTTTGTCTGCAGGTGGGCGGGTTTCCCCGCGGTGGCCCCGCCCCTCCTATGTTACCTGGTGGGGGTTTCAGGCCGTTCTTCGGAGGTCCACCTCTGGCCCACGGACACAGGATGGGCCCACCTCTGGCCCACGGACCCCCCATCCGTCACAACACCACACACCTGCACCCACAGCACCGCCGCATGCTCAGCCAGCGCCTGCAGAGCCGAGGCGGGTCAGGACTGCAGTTCTGGTCCTTTAAGGTCTGTGTTGAAAGGTTCTGAGGAGACCCCCTGAGGTCTGTCTCTGTCCCTGCAGGGACCGCAGCAGGACGGRTCTGGACCGGCGCAGCAGGGACCCCTACAGTAACCTGATGTCTCAGAAGGAGAAGGAGTGGGTCACCAAGATCCAGATGATGCAGCTGCAGAGYACTGACCCGTACCTGGACGACTACTACTACCAGGTCAGACTGAAGCCTCATTCTGGGGTCAGGGTTCTGGTTCTGTTTGGTGAACAGAATCAGAACCCTGACCCGAGTGGGTTGGGTTCTCTTTGGCAGAACTACTATGAAAAGATGGAGAAGCGTCAGGAGAAGGAGCAGGACAGCAGCAGGAAGAAGGAACACACCACCAAGCTCATCACACCACAGGTGGCCAAGGTGGAGCACACCTACAGGCCCGGTAGGACCAGCAGAACCCTAACCRGGTCCAGAGAAGGTCCGGACAGATGTTCTGACAGCTCTTTGTGTGTACAGTTCAGTTCGCCGGCTCTCTGGGGAAGCTGACGGTGTCGAGTGTCAACAACCCGAGGAAGATGATCGATGCCGTGGTGACGACCCGATCCGATGACGAGGTCCGGTTCTGCTTCTCTGCTCCTTCAAGGGTTCTGCAGAACTCAAGATTCTGGTTCTGTTTTTCTCTCTGCAGGAGAAACGAGAGAAGCAGGTCTGGAACAAGAGGAGGCAGGTTCTGTACACAGTGGAGAAGGTGAGCAGAACCGACCCAGAACATCCATTAATAAACATGAGTGGGTTCTAAAGGTTCTGTGACCCGGTTCTCCTGCAGATGTACAGCCTGCTCCTGGAGGTCCAGGACTTCGAGAAGCGCTTCCTTCAGACCCCAGAGGAGGAACGGGAGGTTCTGTTGGAGCAGCACAGAACCAACACGGAGCAGCTGTGCAGCTCACTGAGGGAGGAGTGGGACGACAGGTGGGCGGGGCCTGGTTCTGGTTCTGGTTCTGGGTCTGGTTCTGGTGTGTGACCTTCTTGTGTTCCCTCAGAGTCAGCGATGAGCTGTGTGTGATGATCATGTCGGTGAGGAAGGGCAAGCGGCTCATCTCCAGGCTCCTCCCCTTCCTGCCTTCAACACAAGCCGCCGCTGTCGTCATGGCGATCGCTCGCAACCTCCCAGCATTGGCCAAGAAAGACAAGCAGGAGCAGGTAGCCATTTTTGTTTGTTTGTTGTATTCCAGGCTTGGTGCTCACCTGTGCTGCATGTCTGCTCACCTGTCCAGGTGTTGTGCTGGTTGGTGGAACCGGTTTCTGCTGTSGTTCAGTCGCTGTCAAGCTCCGCCCTCACAGACCTGCTGCAGGAGYTGCAGGGTGGTGAGGGCCAGCTGACCGCCGTTCTGCAGAACAAGGTAAACAAACAAACACCAGTTATGTTCTGTATTGAAATGGATCCAATCAGCTGGTTCTGGTTCTGGTTCTGGTTCCAGTTTGCCGTAACGCTGCTCTACCTGATCCTGGGCGAGGGAGAGAGGATGCAGAGCTCCGACCCAAACTGTCAGCTGATGGACGACAACCGATGGTGAGCCTCCCCTTCCTGTCTGTGCCTCTAACAGAACCTCCTGTAACAGAACCTCCTGTAACAGAACCTCCTGTAACAGAACCTCCTGTAACAGAACCTGCTGTAACAGAACCTCCTGTAACAGAACCTCCTGTAACAGTACCTCCTGTATCAGAACCTCCTGTAACAGAACCTCCTG